TGGGAGCGAAGTGGAGGGGGTCAGTTGGGGGGGGGAATGGGACACCTGTAATACTCTCAACAATAAAGATAAATTTTTAAAAATAAATGAAATAAAATAAAATAAAAAAAGAAAATAATTGGTATGAATTCTTCTTTAAATGTTTGATAGAACTCACCAGCAAAGCTATATGGTCCTGGGCTTTTCTTTGTTGGGAAGTTTTTGATTACTGATTTAATCTCTTTGCTAGTTATAGGTATATTCAAATTTTCTATTTCTTCTTGAGTCAGTTTTGGTTGGTATTGATAATTACTAAAAGTTCAAAACATCTTCCTGAAAAAAATATGTATATATAAAATATATTACATATATCTCAGTACATGGAACGAATGATCATTTTCCTGGGGCAGTGTTATGTTGGAATTTTTTAGTTTTAGGAAGTAACTCTACAACCATGTTATTTAGAAATAGGAAAGGAAATACTAAGCGATCAGCTAAAAGGGGTAAAAGCAATTGCCTCCAGGAAAGGAAAGGGCAGAGGAATGTTACTTTTTTTAAAGAAATATAGCAGCACAATTAGACTCTTTGTTAAAATAAATAAAACTTAATGAATCCATGAAAAGGCAATTCTACAACCAGGCTGCCTGGATCCAAATCCCACCTCCACCATTTGGAAGCTGTGTAATCATGGGCCAGTTTCAAGTGTCTGATCTCTCTGAACCACGGTTTTTCCATCTGTGAAATGAGAATGATAACAGTACCTACCACATAACGTTTTTGTGGGGACCAAAGGAGATCATGAATGTAAAGGGACTGGCTTTTGAGTGTCCTGCAAATGGAAGCTTTTTACTGCTATTATCAGGTTCTTCCAGACCAACCTAACTTCCCTTATGGCTTCGCCAGAGCCACCTGGCCACTCTGGAGACACCCATTTGTGCTACTGACTGACTGCTTGACCTTGGGCACGTCTCTTCTGCCAGGGCCCTTTGGAAGTGGCCTCAGAGGGCGCCACACTTCACCAGCTCCCTCAGGCTCAGGCTGGCCCTGCCCCAGACTTCAACCCCTCCCCCTAGGGGTCAAGGCTTTGTTTTGTTCTAAAGACCCAAGATTTCCAAACCCTGTGGTTGCCTTGCCTAGCTAAAAGGGGAAGAAGGGGATCAGCCCGAGGAGGAGGAGGAAGAGGGAAGCAAGACAAATAGCTGGTGCAGTGGACAGGAACGTGTCCAGCCGGCGCTCCTGGTCCCTGCAGAGCCAGCAGCTGGAGCCCAGTGCCTGCCCAGCCCCAGCCCTGCATCAGCCTGCCGCCTCCCCGCAGAAGCCATGGGCCCAGGGCCTCTGCTGGTCCTGCTGGTGGCCACAGCTTGGCATGGTAAGAGCAGAACTGAGGGCCCTGGGTGTGTGTGTG